TTATTCATGAAAATACACAAAGAGGAAAGAGAGAGAGGCAAAGACACAGGCAGAGGAAGAAGTAGGTTCCATGCAGGGCGTCCGATGTGGGACTCAATCCGGGGTCTCCAGGATCAGGCCCTGGGCGGAAGGCGGCGCTTAAACCGCTGAGCCACCAGGGCTGCCCACATTACTCAACTTTTTATGGCTTTGCTCATTTCTGTTAAAAAGTCATTTTCAAGTCTTATTAATTCTCTTTGGAAGGTAATAGTGTCTTTTTAACCTATATATTTAATAGATTTTCTCTTTTTCACTCTGCCTTGAGGGTTTGTGAAGGAGGAACGGTGCATGTGCAGCTTGACAAGGTAAGTTAATATCAGTCTTCAAGACGTAAAGTCTCTCTCTTCCTCCCAGGTATCAAAAGCCATCACAGCTTTTCAGCAAAAGTACCTCTATGGACTGCCCCTGTCCCCTTTAAGACCAAGTTCTTTTGCTACCCACTGCATGCACAAGTGGGAGTAAGGTTGAGAGGCTGACCTGTTTCTTCCTATAGCAGTACCTCAATCAATAACTCACACATTGTCCAAAGACCCTACCCATGCCAATAGTTCTTTTCTGTGTACTTAGGACACCCCCAAGAGCCAGCTGCAGTTCTGCACTAAGCCTCTGTTATGCAACTTTTGTTTGTCTACCTTCAATCCAATCCCACCTGGTTCCTATTTTTCAAGGATTCTCACAATGTCTGGTCCATTGAGAGCACCCCTTCATGTTTTGTAACATTCAGGTATGTGCATGGATGCACATGAATTTTTATACTTGTATAAATTTTTTGTAATTTTTAGATTTGGAAAAGAGGGGAGGAATTGGGAGATCTAGAACTTATTCTCAGTTGGCCATCCTGATTCAATCTCAGTTAAATTTTTAAGCATATATTGAACTCTTTTAATACCAAGCAAGAACAGCTGCTAGTAACATATGATCTAATTTGGAAATCTCTGCTTATAAAGTGATGTCATATTAAATTATTGCAATTTAAGACTTGGTTCCTATGTTAAAACTGGCATCTGTATGACACATGTGAATAAACTTCATTCTCTTTCATCGAAATTACCGTTTAGATTTTAATATTATATCTCAAAAGTTAAGAGTTCTGTATTACAGATTCCTACAAACACATAACAGTAACAACAGAAATAGTATTTTTGTTCAACTATAACAAAAATGAGGGGGAAAGTAACTATTTTTTTCAAAATTTGTTAAGTGCTAAAATTAAAAATAAGAAAAAGTAATTCAGAAAGATGGGATGCCTGGGTGGCTCAGCGGTTGAGCGTCTGCCTTCGGCTCAGGGTGTGATCCCAGGATCCGGAATCAAGTCCCACATCGGGCTCCTTGTGGGAAGCCTGCTTCTCCCTCTGCCTCTCTCTCTCTCTCTCTCTCTCTCTCTCATGAATAAATAAATTTTAAAAAATATTTTTAAAAAAAGTAATTCAGAAAGATCCTGAGAAAATTAACAAGGCAGGAAACCACAAATGTTGGAGAGGATGTGGAGAAAGGGGAACCCTCTAGCACTGTTGGTGAGAATGTGAACTGGTACAGCCACTCTGGAAAACTGTGTGGACGTTCCTCAAAGAGTTAAAAATAGACCTGCCCTACGACCCAGCAATTGCACTGCTGGGGATTTACCCCAAAGATTCAGATGCAATGAAATGCCGGGACACCTGCACCCCAATTTTTATAGCAGCAATGTCCACAATAGCCAAACTGTGGAAGGAGCCTCGCTGTCCATCGAAAGATGAATGGATAAAGAAGATGTGGTTTATGTATACAATGAAATATTACTCAGCCATTAGAAACGACAAATACCCACCATTTGCTTCAACGTGGATGGGACTGGAGGGTATTATGCTGAGTGAAATAAGTCAATCGGAGAAGGACAAACATTATATGGTCTCATTCATTTGAGGAATATAAATAATAGTGAAAGGGAATAGAGGGGAAGGGAGAAGAAATGGGTAGGAAATATCAGAAAGGGAGACAGAACATGGAAGACTCCTAACTCTGGGAAACAAACTAGGGGTGGTGGAAGGGGAGGAGGGCGGGGGGTGGGGGTGACTGGGTGGTGGGCACTGAGGGGGGCACTTGACGGGATGAGCACTGGGTGTTATTCTGTATGTTGGCAAATTGAACACCAATAAAAAATTAATTTATTATTAAAAAATAAAAAAAACAAACTCAACAGCAAAGAAACAAACAATCCAATGATGAAATGGGCAAAAGACATGAAGAGAAATCTCACAGAGGAAGGCATAGACATGGCCAACAAGCACATGAGGAAATGCTCCGCATCACTTGCCATCAGGGAAATACAAATCAAAACCACAATGAGATACCACCTCACACCAGTGAGAATGGGGAAAATTAACAAAGCAGGAAGCCACAAATATTGGAGAGGATGTGGAGAATTGGGAACCCTCCTGCACTGTTGGTGGGAATGTGAACTGGTGCAGCCACTCTGGAAAACTGTGTGGACGTTCCTCAAAGAGCTGAAAACAGATCTGCCCTACGACCCAGCAATTGCACTACTGGGGATTTACCCCAAGGATACAGATGCAGTGAAACGCCGGGACACCTGCACCCCGATGTTTATTTTTTTTAAAGATTTTATTTATTTATTAATGAGAGACACACAGAGAGAGAGAGGCAGAGACACAGGCAGAGGGAGAAGCAGGCTCCATGCAGGGAGCCCGACGTGGGACTTGATCCCTGGTCTCCAGGATCACACCCTGGGCCAAAGGCAGGCGCTTAACCGCTGAGCCACCCAGGGATCCCCTGCACCCCGATGTTTCTAGCAGCAATGTCCACAATAGCCAAACTGTGGAAGGAGCCTCGCTGTCCATCGAAAGATGAATGGATAAAAAAGATGTGGTTTATGTATACAATGGAATATTACTCAGCCATTAGAAACGACAAATACCCACCATTTGTTTCGACGTGGATGGAACTGGAGGGTATTTTGCTGAGTGAAGTAAGTCAATCGGAGAAGGACAAACATTATATGGTCTCATTCATTTGGGGAATATAAAAAATAGTGAAAGGGAATAAAGGGGAAAGGAGAAAAAATGAGTGGGAAATATCAGAAAGGGAGACAGAACATGAGAGACTCCTAACTCTGGGAAACGAACTAGGGGTGGTGGAAGGGGAGGTGGGCAGGGAGTGGGGGTGACTGGGTGACAGGCACTGAGGGGGGCACTTGATGGGATTAGCACTGGGTGTTATTCTATATGTTGGCAAATTGAACACCAATAAAAAATAAATTAAAAAAAGAAAGATCCTGAGAGACAAAAAAGAAAGATCCTGAGATGTTATTTCCCTGTACTCAACCCCAGAATTACTTCAATCAACAGACTCATTTACCAACATTACCAACATAAATTCAGGAATAATTATCATTTATTTACCATTGATTGTTTCAGTGTAAATTCCAAATTTTCAAATCTAAAATAATTTCCAGTTGTTTGCACAATAGAAATTTTATATAAATAAATGCAGTCCTGAAATACTATAAACTCTAAATATATTCTTGAGTTTAACCTAAAGAGTTCAACAAAACAACTTTTGAAAAATATTTAATGCACATCTAACATGTCCTAGGTACTGTTCAAGGCACAGGATGTATCAGTGAACAAAACAGACAAAATCTTCTGATTTATGGAGTTCATATTCTAGTAAATACATATAATTTGAGTAATGTGAACTTGGTCCTTTCCTACAAAAATTACTAATAAGGTAGATAAATGTTTTATGCCCACACACAAATATATGTATTTCTTACAGCAGTCCATCACACAACCATATGAAAATATCTTTGTCTTCCAGCTATAAAATAAATAAGTTACAGGCATGAAAAGTATAGCATAGGGAATATAGTCAATATTATCATTATAATGTTGTTGGGTGACAGATGGTGATTATACTTAGCATAGTGAGGATGGGGTAATATACAGAATTGTTGAATCAATATGTTGTACACCTGAAACATTTATGTTAATCATACTTCAATAAAAATCAAATAGATAAATAAATAAAATGTGTTTGAGAACACTTGTAACACAGAGATACATTTAGCTACTGATTTCAAAACATTAGAAGTCAATACCTTGTCAGAGAATGTGAAAAAGGACAGAGGTCCTAAAATTTATCTGCCTAAGTGATTCACTGGGAAAAGGAGGTATCAGCTAGATTTCAGATAAGCATACCAGATTTTAGACAACTCCTAACAGATCTCAATTTATTTCTCTGAATTAGGCAACTGAAATCATACAGATGTCAGACCTATGCAGACTGAGGAAAATACTGGGTCTATCTGGAGCAAGATTTTGATCATCCAGAGTTTGCTGTCCAATATGGTAGCTGCTAGTCACATGTAGTTATTTAACTTTAATTACCTAAAAATTTAAAATTCAGCTCTCTAGTCACAGTAGCCACATGTCCAGTGCACAGTAGCCACACAGCCCGTGGCTGTCATGCTGAACAGAGCAGATAAGCAACATCACCCACACTGCAGAAAGCTCTCTTAGACAGTGCTGCTCCAGAAAATGCCGCCACTCCTGGGAAAGACGAAAACCTCCCGCAAAGGGTTACAACAGGCGGCGATTTATAATAGCAAAAGGATACGTTTTATTCTTGATGCTTTGGCTATTTCCATTCCTGCGTCTTATCTTCCCTTCAGCTCCTAGAAAACCCATCTCTCCTTTCCGTACTCCTTCTCTCCCTAGCTTCTCACATGGTTTCTTACCCCATTTCTCATCACTTCTCTATTTTCTGTAATAACAACTATGCAGTCCACAGTTAATGATTGCAGCATATTTTTTTAAATATTACTCGATGTTAGAATTTAAGAAGCCTAATCCGTTTCCAAAAGAATACGATATTTAGAGGGGACTTTTTTTTTTTTTTTTAAGATGTATATGACCTGTGTATTTTCCTCCCTGAGATCATTATCCTTCCTTAGAGTTTCTCACCTTTAGAATCCGGGGTAGAAAAGAGACGCAATTCCCGTTGCAGCCTCTGGGGTTTCCCTGTGCGGAGGCAGAGCTCGGTCCCTTGGGCCAGGAAGCCGGCGTGTGCACGCACCGCTGCACCTGTTGTTCCGCGGACCTTCTACTGTCATCTAGCGGAGAGAAGGGGCAAGGGCTCTTCCGCGAGTTAGGCCGTTACCAAGCGACGGAGGCGCGGCGCCGCCTGGCCTAAGGAGGAGGACGCACACTAAAAGATGCTGGAAAGAGCTGTAACAACGCCGCTTCCTATTGGCTGAAGAGCTCTCGGCCGTCGCTCTGAGCCAATGAGCGGATGCATGCGGATGACGTCACACGAGATGCGCCTCCTCCCCTCCACCCTCTAGCCGAGCGCCTGGCGACCGCCGCAGCCCACGTTAAACTCGTGGGGGTCTCGACGGCCCCTTGTGCGCTTCGCCCCATGTGTACTTCGCAGCTGGAGCTGCTGCAGGTGTTCTTCCTGATGCTCCCCGGGGGCGTCTGGCCTCAGCCTGCTTCCTCTCCTTCAGCGCCTGTGCCCACCCCTTCGGACGCGGGGCCGGGGTCGCCGGGCGGGACCCTTCAGTCCTCCTCGGAGGGGTCTGAAACTCCGTGGCCTGTACCTGGGATCTCTACGTTGGGCCCTACGGCCGTGACCCTCTCTGCACCTGGGAATGGGACCGTACACCTGTTCCCAGGTGAGGGGAGGAGATGTGGGGATGGAAACCACTGGCTTAGAGAGAAAATTCTGTGGACAAAGTGAATTCCGCAAAGTGAGGAGGGGGGCTGTCGGCAGAGGGGGTTCGCGCTTGGAAGTTTGGGAACCCTCATCCCATCCTCTGCTCTGCATTGTCTTCATAGCCTTACCTGTCTGTGTCTGTGACTTGACTCCCGGTACCTGCGACATAAATTGCTGCTGCGACAAGGACTGCTATCTTCTGCACCCGCGAACGGTTTTTTCCTTCTGCCTTCCAGGCAGCGTGAGGTGAGCTGCCGTGTGCCGGATGAATACTAAAGGAGATTGGGACCCTAGGATAGGTCGTATCTGGAACTAAGAAGAGTTGCCTTTCCTGCCTCCCGCCCCGCTTCCGCTTCTAGAAGTGGAATTACCTTGGTTTTTCCCAGGAGTGAGGTTCCCCCTTGGATTCTCTAGAGCAGGGCTGTCCGATAGAACAGGACCTCTTTGCTGTCCTATGGCTGCCCGAGGAGGCTTCTCCTAGACCTCGACGGACCGCCGTGCCGCACCTTTTTGGACCTAACGCTCCGCTTCTAAATGTGTCTGTTCTTCATCCTGTTTACTCTCAGGTCTTCAAGTTGGATGTGTGTGGACAACTCTCTTATCTTCAGGAGTAATTCCCCATTTCCTTCAAGGGTTTTCATGGATTCAAGTGGAGTTAAGCAGTTTTGTGTCCTTGCGAACAACTGTGAGTAGAAATGTGTTGGCTGTTCTTCTTGTTACCTAACATTTGTCGAAAATTGGCTTTGTGTCTGGATTTTTGTTTTTAAACTTTTCTGTTGTCTTTGAGTTTCTGTCATCTGCCCTCTTCTACCTCTCCACCTGCCCCCTCTCTTTTATTAGTGAACATTTGCAATTTCTTATGCCCTATTGGCTGTGGACAGAAAACCCATACAGAACTTTAATTTCATCATTCCTGTTAGCTGTAAGGAGATGGCTGCAGGAACTTGAATAGATTTTTATACTGTTATAATAGAAGTTATAGAATCGTTACAGGATATACCTCATTGGAGTGTCTGAAATTTTAAATGTAGAAAGTATGAAGTGAAAGGAGAAAAACATAAACCAATTCATATACTTGAGAGATGGAAACATTATTAGGAATGGCGAGTTGAAGTTTAAAAGAAACAGGAAGGTGAAGACAGATTGAATGTTATCTCCAGCTTTGCCATGTCCTGACAGAAACAGTACCATTCTGTTGAACTAGAGATTCATCTGGTGTGGGGCAAATGTGAGCAATTTTGGACCTTCTGTTTTCATCACAGATTGCTAATCACTCACTTTCCTGGCATTAGGCACTTGGAACTGCTTGGCATTCATTGGCCATATTCTTATCTTAGATCTTTTTTTTTTTTTTTTTTTTTTAGATTTTATTTATTCATGAGAGACACAGAGGGAGGGGCAGAGACACAGGCAGAGGGAGACGCAGGGACCCTGCTCCCTCTTAGATCTTAATAAAAAACAATAGTTCTTTTAACATATTACATATATAGTAGGTGATAAAATCAGAATTTTTATCTTTGAAAGTGGAGTGTTACTGAGTCTTCTGAGGAAATGTTCTAAAACTTAATCTGAGTAGTAGGAATAAAAGTATAGTAATATGTAAAAATTCTTTTGAATTTACACTTAAGATGAGTGCATTTGCAAACTTTGTTGTGTGTATTATGCCCCGATAAGGATACTTTTTAAAAGCATTTACTTGGTGTACCAGATATTTTTAAATAAATGTTTTTCTTTTATCTAAACTTATTTTTCTTTTAAAAAAAAAAAAACATTTCAGCAAAATTAAACTATTTCCAGAAGCTCCAGAAGGTCAACGCAACCCACTTCGAGGCCCTGGCTACAGAGTTTGGAGGGGGATCGTTCACTTCAACAATCCAAACCCAGTCCCCACCACCTCATTACAAGGTGAGCCTAGGGATAGGGATGGGATTGTTATGTGTTTTTTCCCTCATGGCTGACAGTTGACCCTGGTGTCTTTGAGGTACCCCCCCCCCCTTCAACTAGGTCAACTATTGTCAGCTCTTTTAGAAGACAGTATTATCCACATTCACAAGCCCTTGAGTTAATTTTGTTTCTACTTTTTCTTTTCTGGTGGCGTTCATTCCAAGCTCACTGTGAATAAATTTCTACCATACTTTGTTCAGGCTGGGGACCCCATTTTGACTTACTTCCCGGAGTGGTCTGTAATCAGCTTGCTGAGGCAGCCTGCAGGAGTTGGAGCTGGGGGATTCTGTGCTGAGAGCAATCCTGCTGGTGAGTCTCAAACAGAAGTGCCAATTTTTTGCTATTTAAAATAGGCTTTCTTAGAAACTGTTTAAAAAGACAAAACAAAAACAGATTGCTTTTCATAAAAATAAAATAGGCATTCTCTTTTATCACTCCCTTAACTCTTTCTGTTCTAAGGTTTCCTGGAGAGTAAAAGTACCACCTGTGCTCGCTTCTTCAAGAACCTGACAAGTAGCTGCACCTCGGATCCAGTCCTCAATGCTGCCTCTTACTATAACTTCACAGTCTTGAAGGTGGTGTCCCTTCCCTCCCTGCCGTCACCATTGGGGATATAAAGTCAGCATGCTTTCTGCTATTGGGTTGTGGAAAAGGCACTGAACTGAAAGTCAGAATGCCTAAGAACTACATAAAAATCTGGGCCCAGAAGCCCCATCTAAAGAAAGATGAAAGAGGTGGGAGATACACATCTGGGTTAAGAGATTTATCCTCCTGGCTAATGAGATTGGCTTGAGAGAGTGTCAGGGGATAACATTTCACTATTTCACCAAAACCTCTTGCTTTTGCCATTCAAGTAGAGCTCTGCTCAGAGTAGGTGTGTCGCTGCCCAGCTTTACTCATAGCGTTTTAATATAAAGAAGAATCAGGTAGAAGAGAAGAATCTAATATGTTGATTTTTCCTCCCCACATGTGAAACCACAAGCTCCTGGAGGTTTTCTCTGAGGTGTATGCACACTCATGATTCTTGCTGTCCTCTTATTCTAGGTTCCAAGAGGTATGACTGATCTGCAGAATATGAAGGTAAGACACTGTTTATCAGGGAAAAGAAAGAAGACTATTTGGTCCCTTTGCATCAGAGGCAATTTCAGTCTGGACTGTAATTGTGAAAGGAAGTCTATTATGTGTAATGTATCAAACTGTTAAGTGCAAATCCAAAACATTGTTTTCCCATATATGTTCTATATGATTAATAAGCACCACATGAAATAAAATATGTTAGATAAGTTTGTGAAACATTGGGTTATGTAAAATTAAATACTATAGCGTGGACTTCTTAGAGTCTTTATTGTGCTAAAGGGACTTGGTACTCTCCAAGAGGGGAATATCGGATATGATATTTCTAAAATTTATTTGGGGGTGCCTCACTGGATCAGTAGAGCTTGCAACTCTTAATCTTGGGGTTGTGAGTTCAAGCCCCACATGGAGTGTAGACTTTTATTACTTAAAATAAAAAGTTAAGAAAAAACCCACAAAAATTTGTGAAATTTATTTGACCATGGAACTTTAATTTTATATGTAGTAGAATTAATGTTCTGAGAAATATGGTTTTGAGAAGTAATGATTTTTTTATCTTAAGGTGTAGGCTGGCAATGGAAGGAGAGAGGAAGGTGGTGATCAAAAATAAAAAATACTCATTTCAGCGTAATATGTAGCTAGGAGAGAAAACACTGCTTTCGATTTCAGTTGATTTGCTTCTTTTCCCTTGCTAGTTCCAGGTTCCTGTAACCCTTGTCTCACAAGCTGGTTCTCCTCTCTTGTCTGGAAACACTTGTCAGAATGTGGTTTCCCAGGTGAGGACGCTGACCTCAGATTCTGGACTGATGTTGATCAACATTATCAGAAGTGCCTCATCTTCTATTAAGTACCAGACCAACCCCACATGAATTTTTGTGTGTGGAACTTAACATGTCAAGAATTGCGCCCATCACCTTCTTCCTTAATCATGTTTCAGTTTCCATTGCTACCATCCTCCAGTATTTCATGTCCAAAATATTACAGTTACTTCTGACTCTTCTTTCTTTACCCATTTGCAGTTTATTGTAGCTCTTATTACATTTTTTCTATTAACAAAATCAGTATCATCTGAAATAGAAGAGTCAACTTCTTATCCTCCATTCTCCCTTTTGATTACCCTGCAGGAGGAAGAATAACCTTAAGCATCATTTTAAAGAGTGCTTAGAAATCTAATGTTACCTTTAATTGCTTATGACTCCCATCTCCAGCTATTATCTTCATTCATCCTCAGACATTGGAGAGCCAAGGAAACCAGCTGTCCATGCTCCCTCTCCACTCACCTCTGCACACAATCAAAATTCATCTTTCTTCCCTTTCAGTTCTTATCATAAATGAATTTCTCCCATGAATCATTTCAAAGAGCTCTGTCCAGTCTCTTTTTACATCTGTAAATATAATACATAATCTATCTTTTCATGGTATTTGTGTTTGGCATTTTTAAGATTACTTGTTTAGTTTTACTCATTCAGTTATTTTTTTAATTGAGATATAATTGACATATAACATATTAGTTTTAGATGTACAACACAATGATTTCATACACACACATACATGCATATATACACATACACATATATGGTGAAATGATTTCCACAGTAAGTTGAGTTGATATTCATCACCACACAGTTACACATTTTTCCTTGCAATGAGAACTTTTGAGATCTTCTCTCTTGGCAACGTTCAAGTATATAATACTATTATAAATTATAGTCACTATGCTGTACCCTCATTCAGTTATAATAAAACTCTTCAAGACAGAAAATCTATATAATTGGCCCATTGAATAATTTTTATTAATTGATTCTTCTTTTGTATTTCAGGTCATCTATGAGATAGAAACCAATGGGACTTTGGGAATCCAGAAAGTCTCTGTCAGTTTTGGACAAACCAACCTGACTATCGAGCCAGGCACTTCCTTACAGCAACACTTTCTCATTCGCTTCAGGGTTAGGGCCCTTTTTCTATAGGGGATTAAGAGGGGAGGAAATACTGGATTAGAAATAGTTCCTGTGCTTCTATGATGCATGAAAAATAGATTAAGAATATGAAAGCCTAGGGATCCATGCCCAGCCTTAAAAAAAAAAAAGAACATGAAGGCCTAGTTCAGTTTGTTAGTTGAGGCCTCAACACTTAGTATTTGATAATTTAACTGCAACTGATAGAGATTCAACAATGTTTATTCAGTAATATTTTCTCTGATTATCTGGCCCCCCAATGAAGCAGGACTTTAGTCTCAAATCCAAACTTGTTCTTTAAATCATAAATTCAGTGAACCTCCCACAGAAATTCTTAAACCAGCTTTTTTTCATATTTCTGAGCATTCAGCAGGTTTTTGTTTTTCACTTTTACTCTTTATATTTCTCATTTGAGTTTATGTGCTTATAATGAATTTTTGCCTATATGTATTTATGAATATGTCAAAATATAATGTGATGGCATTAGACATTTTATTCATTTCCCACTTAATCTAACTTTCCAATCTTGATCACTATGTTTTGGCTTTCTTCTTTTTGAACCCAGCAGAATCTGGTTTCTGCTCAACTCTGCCCTCAAATGATCAACCAAATCTCATGTCTCTCAGAGTTGGTCTCTGGAACATCTGTAGTTCATTAAAAAAATATTTTAAATTATGTTTAAATTCCTCTTATTTCAGCCAGGCTGAACATAGCCCTCAATTGATAGTAATTTTGGAGAAACGAATTTGGTTGATCCTTGGTTGTAATCCTTGGTAGAAGTAGCATGTAGTAATTTCAATTTTCAGATCACTCACAATCTATTTTAGTGAATAAAAGTAAAACACGGAAGCTTTGCAAGAAATTTCTGCAGTATGCTTAACTGTGGAAGGGAGCCAGAGTGTTCAGCGCAGCTAACTTACTTCATTGCCATAAAGAAGGGTATGAAGCCAAGCAGTAGAAGGTGGGAGAGCATGCTTTTCTCTGTAAGTGAAAAGCACTTACACTTTCTTTCACTCTTTCTGCAGGCTTTTCAACAGAACAAAGCTGCTTCTCTTACTAGTCTTAGAAGTGGGAATCCTGGCTATATTGTTGGGAAGCCACTTTTGGCCCTAACTGGTGATACAAGTCACTCTGTATCCTTTTTGTAGCTGGGTAGCCTGTTGCAGCCTAATGAGAAAAGCTGCAGCTGCTGATCTTTTGGGTTTCCCAGTTCTGAGGTCCCCTGAGTTTTTAGATATTCAGGATTTTCTTTACCAAACCATTAATAAACTATGTTTTCAGAATTGTTACTAAACAAAGGCTATAGATACATGTTAAACTGGCTGAAGGTAAAGGATCATGACTCATTTCTGTTTGCTTTAATGAAATATTTATATACTGCTATGTGGTTAGCCATTTTTGGGAGAACAGTTACTGTCTCTGTGTTTTTTAATTACTAGAGGGAAAAAAATTTGTGACTTGAACAATGTTATGACATTGGTAAAATAAAGTGTTAAGGAAACAAGAGCATAGATTTTCCAGTCTGCCTTCTTCTTATTCCGTTATACTCTCCTTGACCATTATTTTCCACCTCAGATCACCCTCATGCAAAGTAAGGGTGATGGAATTTGCTCTGTTAAGAGACATGAAGTACAATTTGGAGTGAATGCAATATCTGGATGCAAGTTCAGGTAATTCTTTGCTTCTTCATCATTTCCCATAATTTTGTCTCTGTAGGGAATATGTTTATGTAACAACTTTTATATTTTGAATGACAGTGCTAGTTAGAAGTAGTTTTATAATCTAAATAATATTGCTAAAAAAATTAAAAAATATTAATATTGCTAAAAGTTTTCTGACAGTCTTTTTTATCTAATAGGATTATTTTCTCCAATTTATTTTATAATACTATTTTTTAATGTTTGGATTAATATGTTAGCATGGGACTCCAGCCTCCGTGGTGTTTCATTTCAGGTTGAAAAAGATGGACTGCAGCCACTTACAGCAGGAGATTTATGAGACTCTTCATGGAAAGACCAGCCCAGAACATGTTGCCATCTTTGGTAATGCTGACCCAGCCCAAAAGAGAGAGTGGATGCGGATTCTCAGCAGGAACTGCAGTGTTTCAGTAAGGAGAGAAATACACATTCTCACAAAGATTTACTTTCCCCATTTGTGTGTAAACTATGGATATTAAAATTAAAACCAACCCTGTTTCTGTAGATGATGTAACTCTCATAGAAGGAAGATAATATAGTTGTCATAAAAGGAAGAATACAAGAAATCATGCCCATTTGAAGTCATTATTTCAGGTTAGGTTTATACCTAACTTATTTTCCTTACTTGGAAAAAAAAAATTAAAGGTAGAAAAATACTTGAAGGTAGAGATTATTCTGTGGTTCAAAATCAACTTACTTATAAGAGAAAAATTTATTTCATATGTATTTCAAATATTCTCTTATATTCCTGAATGATGGTCAACACAGATTCTTTCAGATTGAAATTGTATTATTTCTGTTATAAAAGTTTACATATTTACATTTAATAAAAATACATTATCAGGTTAAAAAAAATCAAACCATGTATAATGGTATTAAATGAAGAATAAAAACCCCAAGACCCCCTGCCATGGAAAGAGCCGCACTTAGCTATTTCTGTTTTTAATTTTTCTGGTGGCCTCTAGATCCATGTTAACAGGTATATCTCTTGACTCCAGCCCAGGTGAAATAAGTAAATCTACTGTACTAGTCTGTCTTCTTTCTTTTTTGCCTACCCCCTATCTCCTCACTTTAGTCAGCCATACTAAATTTAATTTTCTTTTCTAATTTTAAATTATTTTTCTGTATAAGTAATGCATACACTTGGCTCAAAATTCATAAAGTACAAAATAAAAATCTCTCTCGCAAATAGCTCTTCCCTCCCACATAGACAATTGAAATTAGATCCTGCATAGTCACACAAGTAAATATTCAGGTACTTTTTCTTTATTCAAATGATATAATATCATAAACACTGCTCTGCTACCTTGCTTTTTTTCACTTGATCTTAGAGTTTCTTTATCAGTACATAATATGCGTCCTCATTCTTTGGGTAATATAGCTGCATAGTATTCTACTACATGGATGAACCAGAATTTTTTAGCCAGAGTTTTTGGTGGACATTCAGGTTCTTTGCAGTCTTTTGCTATTATACACAATGCGACGTTTTGTATTTTGTAACCTAGTTCAGGCACCATTTTGTACATTAGAGAATAAACCTATATGATAACTTCTAGAATTGCCAGATCAAAGGTATATGGATTTAAAATTTTAATAATTTCAGTTTATTCCCCATACATAAAATTTACAGTCCCATCATTCATCTGTGAGACCACTTTTTCCTTCTACTCTCATCAACACTATGTCATGAAACTTTTTAATCTTTTTTCATAAGTGAAAAATAGTATCCCAGTATCTTCTCTTCTGTAAGATTATTTTGACATATAGTTGAACAGTTTGTATTTTATTCACTATTATCTATTTATATTCCTTGCCCATTTTTATTGAATTACTAGTCTTATTTACAGGAAATGAGAAATGGACCCTTTTCTGTGGTATGATTTGCAGATTTTTTTTTCCAGTTTGTCATTTGTCTTTTGACTTTGTTTCTGGTTTGGTTTTGGTTTTGGTCTTTTGCCATGTGGATACTGATTTTTCTATTGTGAAAAATATCAATTTATATTTTTTAACCTTTCAGTTTTGGTTCAGACTTTAAAAGGCCTTTCTTCTTAGTGATTATTTTGGAAGTGCCCTTCTCCCCTTCCCCAGCCCTGTTATGACAACCACTGAGCCACCCAGGCATCCCTAGGATGGCTATACTTAGGAAGACAAACACTAACAAGTGCTGTCAATAATGTGGAGAAACTGGAACCTTCACACATTGTTGGCGGAACTGCAGATGGTGTGGCCACTTTGAGAAACAGTTTGATAGTTCCTGAATAAAATTAACTTAAGGGGCAGCCCAGGTGGCTCAGCAGTTTAGCGCCGCCTTCAGCCCAGGGCCTGATCCTGGAGACCCGGGATTGAGTCCCATGTCAGGCTCCCTGCATGGAGCCTGCCCCTCTCTCTCTCTCTCTCTCTCTCTCTCTCATGAATAAATAAATAAAATCTTTAAAAATAAATAAACTTAAATATGATCTGTCTCCCCCATTCCTTGTTTATATGTTACTGCCAGAATCTGAGCCTTACTATAAAAAGGTATAAGATGGGCAGCTCGGGTGGCTCAGCAGTTTAGCACCGGCTCCAGCCCAGGGCGTGATCCTGGAGACCCAGGATTGAGTCCCACGTCAGACTTCCTGCATGGAGCCTGTTTCTCCCTCTGCCTGTGTCTCTGCCTCTCTCTCTCTGTGTGTCTCTCATGAATAAATAAATAAATAAAATCTTAAAAAAATATATATATATATGAGGCTTGAAAAACAGGCATATTTGAGGATAGTTTGTATCTGCTAAGTTATAGTAACTCACTTCTGTCAATCCTTACTTCTTGGAATTAATCCTCCTAGAGTCATACTGCTTGGTTGGACTTCATTATCAAACTCTGAAATGTCTTCTTTAACCTTTCACTGCTTCTGTGTCCAAATCCTTTGCTTTACTCAAGTGGTCTGCTCAAGGCCAGTGCCTTCATCATGCCTGGCACATAGAATACACTCAGTAACTATTATTCAGATTAATCAATGATTGTCCCTCCATGGCATCATGTGCTGTTCTACTTGCACACCTTTTTATATGCCATCTCTTTACCTGAATTTTCCTTTAATCACCATTTCTTCTAGTCAAACATTACTCATCTTAGTCCCACGAAGCCATCCTCAACCAGAAATGGCTGTTACTCCTGGCATTCCACAACACTGACTATGCACCACTCATGGAGCACTTCTTATAAGCATTGTATGTGAACTCACATTTTTTAAATCTCTATAATAGTCATTCCCATTTTAGAATATTAATTTGTTAAGATCCAGGACAATGATATGATCTATTGTGAACTTCTACATTCTTTTCTCTAAATCATATTACTTTCTCTGTTACATATAATGTTTAAGAAACAATGGTTACTTAATGCATGGTAACTGACTATAGGCAATCATCAGCAAGCAATTCAAGCAGATGCTTCTTTACCCTTCTACAGGCTATGCATTGTACTTCCTGCTGTGTCATACCAGTTTCCCTGAAGATCCAGGTATTGTGGGCGTATATAGGCCTCCAGTCCAACCCACAAGCTCATGTGTCAGGAACCCGATTCCTATACCAGTGCCAATCCATAAAGGTAAGTCATGGCTCATAAAGGACCACTAAGCCTCTCAATACCCAGATTGTCTTATCAGCTACATGATAAGCAGACCACTTTAACAATGAGAACCAGTTTATGCTGCCAGCCAATATTTGGTTAGAGTGAGCTAAATAACTCTTTAAGCCAGCCAACATTTGGTTAGAGTGAGCTGAATAACTCTTTAAGTCAATCCTGCCTAGTTATTGAAATTAGCATGTTGTCATGATAAATACAGTCTATATCCTTTTCCCTAGTTTGTTTTCTTTTTTAATTTCCTGAACCTAGTATAATATAGGTTAATTTCTTTTCAATTATCATACCAGTGTTACTATACCAGTTGATTTAACTACAGAAAACATTTTCCCTAACTATGCATTCAGTATGACAGTCACACACTGTCAAAGTCTCTGAGTCTGTTGATAGCTTAAAGATGTTGCTGGGGCTAGTTTATAGTCTCAATTCATGACTGATTGCACTCCATTAAAATAAATAATTTTACTATGTAGTAAACATCTACCTGTTATTTATGATATGTGTTAACATCTGCCTTGATTTTATTATCTAAAATTATTACCTGTAAGTCATTGCATTGACATCACAGAAAAGAAATAAACTAGAGACTACATGTAGGCCAGAAATAAAATATCTTTAGCTCCTTCTTACAACAGTGTTGAGTACCTTAGCTCTTACCTACAAATAGTGTTAATACTCAGGTTACCAGAACCTTTGAGAGCATTCCATTTTTCTCTGTATTGTTTTACTGAATAAAATAGCCCTATTTCTAATAGATTCTACCCTTCTAATCTGTTACAGATTCTACACTGAATATATTATTTTGTTTTTCTAAACTGTATATTTGGAAGTACCTGTATAGTTTAGGAAGATACCCACAGGACTATTCTTTTTCTCTCTGAATCTCTGGTTCTCTTAAGCATAGAAGCAACCCAGTGCCTCTCTTGTGTAGATGTTTTAATTGTTATCATTTTCTAGTATTTAGTAGAGGTTAGCTTTTTGGTTAGTTTTCCCCCTCTACAAAATCACCTTACAGTCATACACATCTTACTGGCTTAAGTGGTCGACAATTGAGAATTTCAGCTGTGCTTCATTCATGTATAACTAAAGACAATATCTATTCCAATCAGGGAACAAAAATTAACTGTGTTGAACTTACTGAGAGGTAGTATGTGATATACAAAATCATGTCCTTTACTTAGGATGATTTAAAGGCTTTGCAAAGGGAATTTTTACTATACAAAAATCTTCACTTTAAGGGCTAACTTGAGAAACTCACAGTCATGAAAGTTGCCATACCCCTATAAATATAAAAGGAGGGCAGCCTGGGTGGCTCAGGGGTTTAGCGTCACCTTCAGCCCAGGATGTGATCCTGGAGACCCAGGATCAAGTCCCACATCGGGCTCCCTGCAGGGAGCCTGCTTCTCCCTCTGCCTGTGTCTGTCTCTCTCTGTTTATCTCTCATGAATAAATAAATAAAATCTTTAAAAAAAAAAAAGAAAGAAAAAAACACCTTTAGGAAATACATCTCTGACTACATTTTAAAGCTAATTATATTGTATTATTTAATAATTTAGTTTAGTCATTATAATTAAAAGTTGGCAGTGTTTTATATATCAGTCATAGCATATGCTAGTATAATTGCCAGTCTAGCCCCCAGTCTATCATAAAGGTTTTTAATCTTACGGACCCCACTGAGAATCTGTTGAAAGCTGTTCTCCTGCTGGAAAAACGCAAACGTACAATGTCCTTTATATAGTTTCAAGGGATTTATTGATTTCTTAAAACCAGGCTAAGAACTATATTAGGAAAGATAAAGAACACTAAACAAAATAAGAATGAAATTTACTGATTTTAGAGATAATTGCTATAAGGGAAAGGGCTGGGAAGTGGCTGGATTAGTAAGGAGTTCTATTTCTCTTACCTGTTGATGTCTTGGAGAATATCACCACCATTAGATCACTGTGAGAGCCTGTAAAGTTTGTCACTAAAGTCTTCCTTTTTCAATCAAGCACTATTTGCCTCTATCTCTTAATGAATGATAAGACTATAGAATTATTTGGCCCCCTTCCGTAGTTCTTTTTTCTTAAGATTTTATTTATTTATTCATGAGAGACACACAGAGAGAGGCAGAGACACAGGCAGAGGGAGAAGCAGGCTCCATGCGGGGAGCCTGATGCAGGACTTGATCCCAGGACCCCAGGATCACAACCTGAGCCAAAGGCAGATGCTCAACCACTGAGCCACCCAGACATCCCTCTTCTGTAGTTCTTTTTTTTTTTTTTTTTTTTAATTCATGACAGAGAGAGAGATAATGAGAGAGACAGGCAGGCAGAGGGAGAGGCAGGCTCCGTGCAGGGAGCCCGATGCCGGACTCGATCCCGGGCCCCCAGGACCAGGCCCCAGGCTGAAGGTGGTGCCAAACTGCTGGGTCACCAGTGGTGCCCCCTCTTCTGTAGTTCTTAATAACCTGTATAGAAGAACCTTACTTAGTTCACTGAGTGTTTTCTTTTTACATCTTTTTTTAAGAACTTGTGAAAGTTATGCTCACTGTTCTATATGTTAAAATGTTTAACCCCTTGAGATATCTCCCTGATACATGATGTTGAACCACATTTACTCTTTAACATATTTGTTTTCTTTAACTCATTTGAAAATCTTATTTCACTGACATCTTTAAAATACTGAAGGAATTTATAATTTTTTGTTGGCTTCTCCCTCAAATATATGTTTGGCCCTAAGAAAATATGGAGAAATAATTATACATTGTCTAGCAGAATACTGTACATAAATAATTCATTATTTTTCAGAAATTATTATTCCTTAATTTCACTTTATTTAAATCATTAGTTCTCGTTAAGTCATAGTGTCAACAATGGATATCAGCTTACTTTTTATTTTTATTTTTTTATAAAGAGGTTTATTTATTCATGAGAGACACAGAAAGAGATGCAGAGACACAGGCAGAGGGAGAGGCAGGCTCCCTGCGGGGAGCCTGATGCAGGACTCAAATCCCAGGATCCTGGGATCACGACCTGAACCAAAGGCAGACACTCAACCACTGAGCCACCCAGGTGCCCCTCAGCTTCCTTCTTAAAGATCATGTACTTATATGAGGAAAATTACCTTTATAATATGTTTGTAGTTAAATAAGTTCTAATCATTGTAATAGAAATCATCATACCTAATTGTGTTAGACTAAAGGAGACTCATGAATAAAACAATCAGATGCAGTTCATTTTTTTTTTTTCATTGGTTTCTGATTTGGACAAGCATTTGTTTTTTTTGTTGTTGTTTGTTTTTGTTTTTAATTTTTTTTTTATTATTTATTTATGATAGTCACACAGAGAGAGAGAGAGAGAGGCAGAGACATAGGCAGAGGGAGAAGCAGGCTCCATGCACCGGAAGCCCAACGTGGGACTCGATCCTGGGTCTCCAGGATCGCGCCCTGGGCCAAAGGCAGGCGCCAAACCGCTGCGCCACCCAGGGATCCCCTGGACAAACATTTGTAAATCACATTTTGGAAGAGTTCTGAAACTTGAGTATGGACTATATTTTAGAAAGAAATACTATTAACAGAAAAGGTAGAGTTTCTTTTTTTTTTTTTTTTAAGTTGGTTAGTAAACAGCCTGCCTGCACAATATGACTTCACATGGCTAAAAACATATATGGATGTCTGTGTGTATAAGTCAAGATATAAATGTTAATAGTGGCATTCTTAAAGGTGGAAATACGGTATTTTTATTTCCCATTTTTACTTACCAGTAGTCTTAACTTTTACATTATGATTTACTGCTTTTGTAATAATTTTTTTGTGTGTGTGATACACTTAAGGTCACTAGAAAAAAACCTAGAAATAACTAGATGTTACTTTAAAGATGAATTTATTCAATTTCACTTACAGTAGCTTGAAAAAACATAAAATACTTTGGAACCAATTTAGCAAAAGGTCTGTTCACTGTAAAACATTATAGAGAGGGGCACCTGGGTGGCCCAGTCGATTAAGCAACTGCCTTCAGCTCAGAGTCCTGTGATCAAGCTCCGCGTTGGGCTCCCTGCGTAATGGAGAGCCTGCTTCTCCTTTGCTGCTCCCACTCCTTGTGCTTTCTTACTCTCTCTGTCAAATAAATACATTAAAATCTTTAAAAAACAACACACACATGGAGAGAAATTCCAGGAGTCCTAAAGAAATGAAGTGATATACCATATTCATGGAGAAGATGCCTCACATTAAAATATCTGTTCCCGGGATCCCTGGGTGGCCCAGCGGTTTAGTGCCTGCCTTTGGCCCAGGGCGCGATCCTGGAGACCCCGGATCGAATCCCACGTCGGGCTCCCGGTGCATGGAGCCTGCTTCTCCCTCTGCCTGTGTCTCTGCCTCTCTCTCTCTCTCTCTCTGTGTGACTATCATAAATAAAAATTAAAAAAAAATTAAAAAAAAAATCTGTTCCCAAATGGATCTATAAAATAAATGCAAACCACAGAAAATCCTAGCAGGCATTTTTGCGGAAATTGAGAGCCTGCTTCTAAGATTTACATGAAAATGCAAAGGATTTAGACTAACTAAAACAACTTTGAAAAAGAAGAACAAAGTTGGAGGACTTACTCTATTACAGAATATACTCTAAATCTCAGATAGAGTGGTACTGGTATAAGAATAGAAATAGGCCGGTGAGACAAAATAGAGTCCAATGATAGATCCACAAATAAATTCAATGAGAAAAGGATTTAAAAAAACAAACAAATGACTGAATAAAACTAGAACTACTGGATGAACATTGGGGAAAAAAGGAATTGACTCCATACACAAAAAGTACTTACTCTTGCATCATAAACGTATATATGAAACCCAGAGTTATAAAGCTATTAAAAGAAACACAGGAGAATGTCTTTGTAGATTTGAAGTAGGCAGATATTTCTTAAACAAAAATCATAAGCCATAAAACTAAAAAATTTGATGTATTGGTCTTATCAAAATTTAATATATCTTATCAAAATTTAATATTTAATTTAATATATCTGAGTGGCTCAGTGATTGAGCATCTGCCTTCAGCTCAGGGTATGATCCCGGGGTCCTCGGATTGAGTCTCGCCTCAGACTCCATGCATGGAGCCTGCTTTCTCCATCTGCCTATGTCTCTGCCTCTCTTTCTATATCTCTTGAATGAATAAATAAAATCTTAAAAAGAAACCTTACAAAGTGTTAAAATTATTGGTAGGAATTTCCGAAGTAAACATCATAAAATATTATCGTTTAAGTAGAAATAAGTCAACCATACATAACAGAACTGGATCCACATTAAAAGAAATGTGCTGACTTGGCTGTGTGTCTTTTGTTTGTTTTGATAAAAGACATATGACCAGACTTTGAGGGTTGAGTTTTTTTTCCAGTATTCTTCCTACACATTCACTAGAATGAATTATCTAATTTTGCTTATATATAACTTTTGAAAAGCAAATAGAAAACTTGGTACTTCAGAATTTATGTGTAACACATTTGTTCTTTAAAAAAAAAAAAAAAGCCACTTTGTTCTTTGGGGCAGCTAGGTGGCTCAGTGGGTTAAATGTCTGCCTTCAGCTCAGATCATGATCCCAGGGTCCTGTCATTGAGCCCTGAGTCTGGCTCCCTGTTCAGCGGGAAGTCTACTTCTCCCCCTCCCTCTACCCTTCCCTGCTCTCTCTCTCTTTCTCTCTCTCAAATAAATAAAATCTTTAAAAACAACAACAACCTTGTTCTTCTTGTGATACTAAAACACAAATTCTAGGGGCACTTGGGTGGCTCAGTGGTTGAGCATCTGCCCTTGGCTCAGGGATCGAGTCCTGCATCAGGCTCCCCGTAGGGAGTCTGCTTCTTCCTCTGCCTATGTCTCTGCCTTTCTCTGTGTCTCTCATTAATAAATAAATAAATCTTAAAAAAAAAATCTAAAATGGATCAATAACATTCAGTAGTATCCAGTGACCTGGCAAGTGCATTCAAGTTCCTTTTAATTACTGGATTGTCTACTAGACTGTATTTGTTCCAAACCTCCACACGATTATGGAGGCAATATTCTTAATACATGAAGAAAAAAACATTTCACTTGAAATATTAGTTTATAAATAAATATAGGAGGGATGCTTGGGTAGTTCAGCGTTTTCAGCGTCTTCCTTTGGCTCATGGCATGATCCCGGAGTCCTGGGATCAAATCCCACATCGGGCTCCCTGCATGGAGCCTGCTTCTCCCTCTGCCTGTGTCTCTGCTTCTCTCTTTCTCTCCCTCTCTCTCTCTCTCTCTCTCGCTCACTCTCGCTCTCCCATGAATAAATAAACAAAATCTTTAATAAATAAATAAAGGAAAGAAGGAAGGAGGGAGGCACAGCCTTTAGGGATTCTAATTATAGTGTTATGAGGAGAATAAAGGGTCAGTCTATAATTGCTGACTATTAAATACCTATGGCATACTTTCTTCCTTGTGTCTTATTACCTCTTGCTACTTTGTATTAGTTCCTTTTCTCCAAAAATACCTCTATTCATTTGTCAAAGAAAAAAATCTTTATTGAGTGCCTACTTTGTGCCAAGTACTATGGCTGATGCTCTAGGTATCATGCATGGTAAACAAGTAGATATCATCCCTGCCTTACAGAAGGTGTAGGGTGGCAATACTGAGGTAAAATTTAGAAACACTGTTACAAAAAAATCCATCAAGAGATACTGATAACATAGGCCCAGGTGGGGGCTGTGAGGGCTGCAGAAAGTAGAGTTAGGGATGCCACAGATAGGACTTGACTGCTAGGACATGGAAGTTGAGGAAGAATGAGCCAAGGATAATGGATAGTTTTCAGTTTGGGCATTTAATACCCTGTTGAAATAATTTTGCTTTTTGCAATTATTTTTCTGTTTTTCACCCTCCTTTTTTTTACTTTAGTGGGTATGCCTGAGGTTTTCTAACCCTTTCTGTTTTGTTTTGTTATGTCTGTTGTAGAAAACTGCTTTCACCCTGCTTGAACCCACTTTGCCTGTAAAGTGCCTGGAAATATACATCTCCCAAATGGCCCTTAACCAATGCCTGAAAGATGCAGGAATAGAAAAACTCAGCCCCCTTGCTTTGGATTGGGATAATACAACTTGTTGGGACTGTGAAACCTACTTTATATTTCAGAGTTCCCCTGCAGCTTGGACTAATGCTAGATAATGGTATAATTTATCAAATTAATTAATAGTTGTATAATCTATCAAAATAATATATATATATATATGTTTTTAAGGTAAAGAAATGCCAGAAAAGAGGATCTCTTAACAAAAAAAAAAAAAAATGCTATATTCCCTCTTGCCTTGCTTCTAAGCAATATTGAATGATTATCTCTTGAATTATGAGTTTGTAGGTAATTTATGGACTTCTATTTTGGTGAGTTTAGCTCTTTTTTTTCCTCCTCCCACTACACTCCCAATGTATGTTAAGTAAAAATATTTTATTAAATCAATATTGTGTTTCATTATGATGATTACATAAATATGCTGAGCCAAGTCATTAAATTTTTGTGAAATTTTTTACTTCTGAAATTAGTAATTATCCCGTTTCATTTCTTTAGTTTTCTTTGAGCTAAATGCTAAGATGTCTCACACTCTCCGATATCTTTGTAAAATTTCTCTCAATGCAGTTCAACTTGCCATGTGATACTATCAGTTCTAATTTTCCTATATATTTTCTTCATGGCAACCTCCGTTACCTGGTGTAGTATAAATTCCTTACTGCCCACCAGTTGTTATGGAACTTTCCTGTCACTCTAGGAATTCCTCTTGCGTCTTGTGTTAGATTCACTGTTTACTGGGCACTACTTTTTCCTTCTTGGTTTACTCTTTTGTTTTGATGGAGCTCAAAATCTAATAACTTCTTTGAAAAAAAGGCACATTTTCTTTAATTTACATGTCTAAGGATAGCTTTATTCAACTATCATCATCACTGTTATATCCAATTATGATTGCTTATTTGATCAGGTATTCTAATTGAATTCCAGATTGGAAATGATTTTCACTCACAATTTGAAGGCATTCTTTTATTGTCTTCTAGTTTTCAGTACCATTCAAAAGCTGTTTTAAGATCTTTTGCTCCTAGTAGTCTGAAGCTTCTAAAATGTTATGCCTTGGGTAGGTTTTTTTCTTCATTTTTTTTCCATTATGCCAAGCAATTTGGGGGATTATTTTTATACTGAAAGCTCTGAGAATTTTCAATTATTACTATTTGTTTAGTAATTAACCACACACACACACACACAAACACACACACACACAGTTTTCTCCCCTATTTTTGTAACTCCTGTTAATCTGTTAAAGGGTCACTAGATTGGTTCTCCAATCTTTTTCTGTTCTTTCATATTGTCTATTTCTTTACCTTTTTGTTCTTTCTGGGAGGAGAGTTCCCACCTTTCTTTTTTAACTTTTTTTTTTAAGATGTTATTTATTTATTCATGAGAGACACAGAGAGAGGCAGAGACATAGGCAGAGGGAGAAGCAGGCTCCCTGCAGGGAGCGTAATGTGAGTCTTGATCCCAGGAACCTAGGATCATGACCTGATCCAAAGACAGATGCTCAACTAAGCCACCCAAGTACCCCTCTTTTTTAACTTCTTTACTGATTTTTTTTCTATCACATTTTTAAAATCTAAGAGCTCTTATTTTATTTCATTTTATAATAACCTTTTCTTATATAAATTTAATGATCTGGGGCACTGAGCTGGCTTAGTTGGAAGAGCTCATGACTCTTGGTTGTGAGTTCAAGCCCCACCTTGGTTATAGATTACTTAAATAAATAAAACTTTAAGAAAATAAAGATCTTAACTTTTCATCTTTATTTTTCCTTGTCTGTTTCCTCTGAGTTTATTTCTGCTCACTTGGTATACTTTTTCTCTTTAATGTGAGAACCTTCCCCCACACATCTGGCAACCAACCTCTAGCTGTCTATCCAACATAAGAGTAAGCTGTTAAGCTCATTGAAAGCTCTGTGATCATGAATGAAAGTTGCTGACTGGTGGCCTTCACAGTAGGGCAGTTAGGTGCAGCTGCTTTTGGGTTTTGGAACTGCCAGATGTCATCTTTTTGACTTGTTGCTGAAATGGATCATTTTCTCCAGAAAAAGACCCTCTTGATTCCTGACTGACAAGTATGGATATAAAACCATCTATCAGGGCACCCCGGGTGGCTCAGCGGTTTAGCGCCACCTTCAGTCCAGAGCCTGATCCTGGAGACCGGGGATCAAGTCCCACGTCGGGCTCCCTGCATGGAGCCTGCTTCTCCCTCTGCCTGTGTCTCTGCCTGTCCCTGTCTCTCTCTCTCTCTCTATGAATAAATAAATAAAATCTTTAAAAAAAAATCTATCAGGGATGCCTGGTGGCTCAGTCAGTTAAGTGTCTGCCTTCAGCTCAGGTCATGATCCCAAGGTCCTGGGATTGAGCCCCGAGTCGGGCTTCCTGCTCAGCAGGAGCCTGCTTCTCCCTCTCCCTCTTCCCTTTCTGCTTCTTGTGCATTCATGCTCTCTCTCAAAAAGCCCCATCTGTCAGCATTTTGGAGCTAGATGGGGGAAGGGATTTCATTATACTGAATAATTTTCCTAAGTTTAGCTCTATACGTTGCTCTGCTCTTCTTCATGCCCAATGTCCCTAAATCCAGAATTTCTCTTGTTTAAATTGTCCAATCTCTTGTTGAAGTGGGGAAGGGGTAGTTGCCTGATCACACTGAGAGGATATCATTTAGTAGCGACTTTCTGTCCCTACTTCATACCTGCCACCATGTTAAATCCTGGCTTCCCCATTTTCCTTGTCTGGTTAGTTTCAGCCAGTCTTCCGTGCCTAGCTAGAGTCAGGATTGCCTTTTCAGTTTTAACCTCAGCTGACTGTCCCAGAATGCATGTGGTTCTTTCAGTGCCTCAAAAGCTATATTATTTCTGTGCCAAGTCTCTTAGGAACTTCACTGTTTTTGTTTTTAAGATTTTATTTATTCATGAGAGACACAGAGAGAGAAGCACAGACCTAGGCAGAGGGTAAAGCAGACTGCCTGCAGGGAGCCTGATGTGGGACTCCCATCCTAGGACCCTGGGATCACAACCTGAGCCAAAGGCAGATGCTCAAGAACTGAGCTACCCAGGTGTCCAGAAATTCACAGCTTTAAAAAAGGATTCCAGGGGCTCCAGGGTGGCTCAGTCAGTTAAGCATCTGCCAGCTCAGGCCATGATCTCAGGGCCCTGGGATTGAACCCCATGTCAGGTTCCCTGCTCCGTGGGGAGTCTGCTTCTCCCTCTGCCCCTCCCCCTGCTTGTGCGCCCGTTTTTAAGTACCTAGAAAGGTTATTCCTGGCAAAGTTGTGTTTCCAGAGCTTGGTATTTACTGTTGCCAAAGACCACAGGCAATATGTAGCATCAGGGTAAACAAAGGTAAGTGAAGAAAATACTCATTTCCTATTCAGCAAGATAGTTATTCACTGTCGAATTATAATCAGAAGTCTGGTAACCACAGAGTCAAAACAAAAAGAATTAATTTTAGATAAACTTGTTTTAGTTATCAGGCTACAGCTGTATCTACCAAAAGTGAAAAAGTGATACATATTAGATCAAATACTTGAATCAGCTTGATAAGGTCCCTTCTACCAGGAGCATCTGTTTCATTTGACTTGAATCATTGGGCGTTTGAGAGGATCCTTTCTAACCCCGAAATTCTATGAAGCTGATGGGCTTTTTATCTACATGATGGAGTTCTTTGTTTTTCCATGAAGTTTCACATTTCTTTCTACAATTGAAGATGGAATAGAATTGCCACTATTATTTCCACATGTGTACTTCAGAGCCTGTAGTCTTCTGGGACTTGATAAGGCAAAGCTGCTAAGCATGTAACAGCATCAGTTCTACCATCTGGCCTCTCTGATATCAGCCAACTCCCCATTTGGGGGAAGCTAGAGTCAGTCTTTCGCCCTTTATGTAGGTGTAGCTATTCACAGTTCTAGTGTCGTGGACTACTGCTAAGAAATTTGTTTCCTATATATCGTAGAATGAGAACTACATACAAAGGACCAATATGAGAAAAAGGCATAGCCTGCTTGGAACAATTTGGTTCGGGTCTTTCTCAGAGAAAGTAATAACAATTAAGTTAGAAAGCTATGTAAAGTATTGACCTGTCATGGACTTTCTTCCCACAGGATTACCAACAAGTAACAGAAGTACCTTTGACAACTGTTGTGACCTTTGTGGACATTACCCAGAAGCCAGAGCCTCCAAGGGGCCAACCTAGAATAGACTGGAAACTGCCATTCGACTTCTTTTTCCCCTTCAAAGTGGCATTCAGCAGAGGAGTAGACTCTCAAAAAGGCTCAGCCTCTCCCATCCTTATCCTGTGTCTCTTAGTGCTTGGAGTTCTCAAGCTAGATACCATGTGAAACAAGGAGAGTCAGTTTTTTAATTTTCCCTATGGGAAGTTCTGAGACAGCCTGCTTATCTTGGCTAAATGGGTCCGTACCTGCTTGTGACCAGAGGACAACATTTAAAATAACAGAGGACCTAACTGAAGGAATGTTTGTATATGAAAGAAGAGATTTTTGAAAAGCAATAAAAACATCATCTTTGTTAGGGCTCTCTGCTTAGGACTCTGCAGACCACCAAGTACACATTAGGTTCTCTACTTATCAAGCTAGGAAGAACCTAAAGTGCCCTTCCTCCAGCCCTTCAGGTTTTGTTATGCCTGACTAAAGTTTTGCAAAATCTTCATCCATCTGCTCATAGGCACACTTAGGCCCAGCATAAAAAGGAACATGCTCCCGCTATCCCCCAGATGAATTTGGGAACAGATGCCCTCTGGACTTAAGAGTAACTGTTAGGAACAGAAAACTGCTGGCTATAGATTCCATCTGGCCCCTCCCTACTCCATTGGGCCACACTCTTTGCCTGGGCAGGAGTAAGGAAAACAGTTCTTTCAGGTCAGTTTCCAAAATGATTGAGGAATCCCAGCCTCCTTTTTTTTGCTAGCAAATGATTGATCCTACTACCCATTTCTGTATTTTTCCTTCCTTCCATTGTGGTGAGTAGAAATGAAACTGAGAGCTTTGTTGTGCTAATTCCAGCAGCACACAGAAGCTGACATGTGATCACCTCATGATTACTTATCTATGTGCATGAGGTTTAAAAAGAAGGAAAAAATGTCCATACATAGCACAATGGCATTCAGATCAAAGTCCTTAAGCTCTTTCCCTGGGATTAGAGCTAAATATAGCAGGATAGGTGAGATTGGGAAGGAGGCTGGGAGGGTGGAGGTGATGCCAGGAGCCAGAGTGTTGGGAGCCTAAAGTGACTATAGTAGAAACACTGAATGGGCAAAATAGACTCTAAGATGGGGTCAATAACATGGGAGCTCATCATATAGGGACTTGAAAGCCAGGCAGAGAGAACTGAAAATAGTCTACTTATTTTTTTTTACAACATATTAAAGATCTGAATCTAGAATTGCCTTTTAATAAGCATATACTTAGTTATAATAAATCTTAAGTTACAATGCTATTGTAAACACCATCTCTGATGGGTTTATCGTTTTTGCCCCATTCCAAAGTACTCTGTAAGTAACCTACTTCCCTGCAGGAAAGTGGCAAGTTTCTCATAGCAGTTATTACCAAACTAGGAGGAAGTGCTGCTGTAAGAGGGAAATTATGCACAGGGGGAGTTGGGACCTGGAACGCTGATGGGGGGTTCCCACTAGAGTCCATTATGTAGATGTTAATGTTAATCAGCAACCCTGCCTCCAAAGAGGCCTGTACCAAACCAGACCACAAAGCTACTAGAGTATTTAGGGTCTCCAGTTTGGGCTTCCTAAAGAGGAAAAAACTTCCGTGACAATTCATTCCATATTATGGGGTAGGGCACATCTAACTTACTCCTGACAGTCTACAAGTTCTCAAAATCTGGTCCCTTTATTTCTTTATTCACATGCTTATTTCCGTGCCCCTGTGCTATGAAACCATTCTATGCCTCTACCAAAAAAATTTATTATTATTTTTTAAAGATTTTATTTATTCATAGAGACACAGAGAGAATGAGAGGCAAAGACACAGGCAGAGGGAGAAGCAGGCTCCATGCAGAGAGCCCAATGTGGGACTCGATCCAGGATCTCCAGGATCACGCCCTGGGCTGCAGGCAGTGCTAAACCACTGCACCACCGGGGCTGCCCTACCAAAAAAATTTAAATGTAACTCACATATCATAAAAGCCACCCTTTTAAAGTATACAATTCAGTGGTATTTCAGTATATTTCAGTGACGTAATCATCACCACTAATTCCAGAACATTTTCATCACCCTAAAAAGAAAGCCCATACTGATTAGCAGTCCCTTCCCATTTCCCCTTTCCCCAGGTTCCTTAGCAGTCACAAATCTATTTCCTCTATATATAGATTTGCCTATAAATGAAATCATACAATATGTGACCTTTTCTGTCTGGCTTCTTTCACTTAGCATATTTTCAAGGTTCCTGTTGTAGCATGAATGAATAATATTCCAGTGTATGAATATACCACATTTTATTCATCAGTTGATGGACACTTGGGCTGTTCCTACTTTTTGGAAGTTATGATTAATGTTGCTTTGAACATTCATGTACAAGCTTTTGTGTGGACTTAAGATTTTATTTATTTTGAGTATATACCTAGGAGTGGAATTTCTGGATAATATGGTAACTCTGTGTTTAACTTGCTGAAAAATTGCCAAAGTGGAAATCCTACCAGCAGTGAATGAGTATTCCAATTTCTCCACATTTTGCCAAGACTTGTTATTGTCATTTCTTATTTTAGCCATCCGAGGGATATACAATGGCATCACTTGTGCTCTACCATGCCTTTTTAAAGTGTAGTACATGGAGATCTTACACCAGAAATCAGCATCTTTGCTTTTCCAAGTGAAGAATACCTCAAGTGTTCTCTTCCTTTCTGCTAATTTAATTAGCTTGTAAACCTAGTTTCCAATTACTAGGCTACTTAATGTACTTTAGATAAGATTTTATGGTTATCTCTAGTCACTGTCCTAGTAACAGACCTTCAAGACATTTTTATTTTATTTATTTATTTGTTTATTTTAAAATTTTATTTATTCACGATAGACAGAGAGAGAGGCAGAGACACAGGCAGAGGGAGAAGCAGGCTCCACGCAGGGACTCCAGGATCGTGCCCGGGCCAAAGGCAGGCTCCAAACCACTGAGCTACCCAGGGATCCCCTTTCAAGACATTTTAAAACCATCTATAGAACAATGCAGTCTTAGTTCCCTTCCTTTATCTATACAGGCTATCAGCTATTTGACTTACTGCACAAAAGGTCTGTATTGTAACCATGCATTCGATTTAAGGGAAAAGTTTTATTGTAAAGGACTATGTACAATTTGGATAGTATGAAAGTGAAAAACCAGGCAGACATTGTAGGTGTGGAGAAACAGGTACTCTCAAAAACTTTTTTGGGAATATAAACAAGTAGAAACTTGAAGAGAAGGGCAGATAACTATTTGATAATATGTATCAAAAACCTTAAAACTGTTTATAAACTTTGATCTAACAATTCCACTTAGTGGACATTACTGAGGAAGGAAAAATATCCAACAGTATGATCTTTTTCTAAGTGAACAAAACAGACTACAAAATAGAGCATCTATACTGTGATCTCATTTTTTAAAAAACAAAAGCAATACATGTATACTTAGACAAACAAAAAAAGTTTGGAAAGCTAGCATGTCAAAATGGAGATTTTTAAAAAATAGTAAGTGCTCCTTATTTTTATAATCAGAGAAAATAAAACTATATTTTGAAGAAAATATATGTTCTCCAAAAACTTATTTTGAAGACAATATATGCTCTCGTCTACATTGGGGTGCCTGGGTGGCTCAGTTACTTAAGTGTCTGCCTATAGCTCAGGTCATGATCCCAGGGTCCTGAAATTGACCCCTACATCATAATTCTCCCCCACCCTCTACCCCTCCCCCTTCTTGTGTGCGCGCTCTCTCTCTCTCAAATGAATAAATAAGATATTTTAGGGACGCTTGGGTGGCTCAGCAGTTGAGCTCCTGCCTTCAGCCCAGGGGGTAATCCTGGAATCCTGGGATCGAGTCCCACATTGGGCTCCCTGCATGGAGCCTGCTTCTCTCTCTCACAGCCTGCATGGAGCCTGTGTTTCTGCCTCTCTCTGTGTCTCTCATGAACAAATAAAATCTTTAAAATATATATAATTTTATATATATAATTTATAATTTTATATAATATATATTATATATGATTTATATAATTTATAATTTAATTATAAATTATATAAATTTGAATTATAATTTATAAATATATATAAATCTTTAAAAAAAGAATGTTCTATATTTATGAGTAACTTCCCTTTTCTACTGATGTATTTGGCATTCTGGGCTTGTCTTTGGAATCGGGTTCTGAAATGCCAGTCATATCATATTTTCTGGGGTACTTCATAAAAATACTGGTTTCTGGGCCCTACCCCTAGATATTCTGAGTCACTGGTAGAAAAAGGAGGCTCTAAGAATCTGTTTAAAGGGCTTTCCTGGTACTTCCGGTGTGCAACCTGGCTTGCAAAACTACAAAGTGATGTTGCATAGTGTGGCTGAAATGGATTTCATCTAAGGGTCTGTTCTATCATTGCCAACTTGTGTGATATGTCTACCAGCCTAGCCTACTGCCTTTGCCCTGAGAATTCCCATCACTCAGAGTTCTGCCAAAGGTGGGCCCAGCCTCCAGGCTCATGATCCTGCATGATCCTGCCTCTCCTTCCCACCAGCCCAAAAATGGAGTCCTGGACCACATTAGGCCAGTAAGGTTTTCTCTCCCAGAACTTTAGGAGCCGGCACTAACTAAAGATATTTGAGGGCTGAGGAAGCTATTTTCTACCAAGTGCTCACTGATGAGAGCCTACCTTAAAAAGGGACCCCCCCCCCAAAAAAAAAAAAACATATGCAGAGAGAAATGTAAATAAGACACCCAGGGAGGAAGGGTACTTTGGGTTCCTAACTTCCAGGGCCTTGTACCCATCTCCCATGGGATTCAGTTTACCTCTTGCTTTTGGAGACTGTATGTTACTCCTTCTAGTAAATTGCCTTATTTGAATGTTTCTGTTGTCAGCAATTAAAGAACCTGACAGTAAGATAACTTAAACTAATACTCCTTAGCATGTAAAGAAGTCATCTTCCAGAACATAAAGACTCCTAACTCTGGGAAACGAACTAGCGGTGGTGGAAGGGGAGGAGGGCGGGGGGTGGGGGTGAATGGGTGACAGGCATTGAGGGGGGCACTTGACGGGATGAGCACTGGGTGTTATTCTGTATGTTGGTAGATTGAACACCAATAAAAAATAAATTTATTAAAAAAAAAAGAAGTCCTCTTCAATCATGCATTCTGAGAGTCCAATTCTAAATAGTCCATTTCCTATGTGGCTTTCTAGTCATGCTCAGCTCTATTCCCATTTGCTGAGACAAAAGTTAGATCCCTCCAATCCAAAAAAATCATTTTAAAAATCATATACAAGAAGGATACCATGGCTGAGTTATTTCCTCTGTTACTGCAGAGGCACAAACTAGTTTATATTTCCACATTTGGTTTTTCCCAATCCATAATCACATATCCCACTCCTTTCTCCTCACTGGTGGAGTAGAATATTAATAGTAAAATAGTAATAAAAATCAAGTAACAATGAGAACTAACATAGGAAATGTTTGTACAGTGTTAAAGGATGTCTATATTTGTTCTCCTAAAAGCCCTATGGCATAGACAACAACAGTGTTATTTGAGAAATAAGATTTCTCATTTGAGAAAACTAAACCCACATGAATTAAATTCATTCATTTATCAAATATTGACTGTCTATTATGTGCCAGGAAGATATTTCTCTATGCTCAAGAGCTTATATTCTAGCAAGGAAGGCAGATAAGCAATTACTTAAGGCGATGTGAGGTTTAAGAGAAGAATTAGGGAAGGATTTCCCAAGTGGAAAATGCCTTCTTCTTTTTTTTTAATTTTTTTTTAAATTTATGATAGTCACAGAGAGAGAGAGAGGCAGAGACACAGGCAGAGGGAGAAGCAGGCTCCATGTACCGGGAGCCCGACGTGGGACTTGATCCCGGGTCTCCAGAATCGCGCCCTGGAAAATGCCTTCTTCTAATGGCTTTGGCTACCCCCATGGTTGCTTAATGTTCTAAGCTTACAGGGAGAATCTTAAAAGCTGAAGTACCAGATGAAACTTACTGGGGAAAAAAAAAAAACTTACTGGAAAGCACTTTCATTACTTTTGTATCCTCCAGCCTACTTCAAATCCAAAGAGCTGACAACTCAACCTATGTTCACTGTTCTCATCTTTCACCTCAAAGAACCCATCTGTTTCCTAACTTACTATACTGCAGCATCACCAGATTGGCAAGAATCCCTTCTCTTCTCTCACCACCACCCCCCACTTTAAAGTAGTAAGAACTGTCAGCTCTCCCCACTTTATGCCCACTGCTGGAGCTTCCTTTCCAGTCATCATTTCTTACTTAGCCTTTGCACTAGGCTAACCAGCCTCCCAGCTTCTACCCCTCTTCAATGATTTTGGACACACAAGTCTCATCATTGTGCCATTCCAGTACTTTAAGATTCCAGATCTACACATGGCCAACAAGCACGTGAAAAAATGCTCCACGTCACTTGCCATCAGGGAAATACAAATCAAAACGATAATGAGATACCCCTTTACACCAGTGAGAAAGGCTAAAATTAACAAGACAAGAAACAACACATGGCGAGGATGTGGAGAAAGGGAAACCCTTTTGCACTGTTGGTGGGAATGCAATCTAGTACAGCCACTCTATAAAACAGTGTGGAGGTTCCTCAAGAAGTTAAAAATAGAGCTACCCTATGACCCAGCACTTGCACTACTGGGTATTTACCCAAATATACAGATGTAGTGAAACAGCGGGACTCCTGCATCCCAATGTTCATAGCAGCAATAGCCAAACTGTGGAAGGAGCCACAATATCCTTCGACAGATGAATGAATAAAGATGTATATACATACATCTATATATATCTATATATATACAATGTATATTGTAATATACATCTATATATATATCTATATATATACAATATACAAAGATGTATATACATACATCTATATATACAATGGACTATTACTCAGTCATCAGAAGAGACACATACCTAGGTGGAACTGGAGGGAATTATGCTAAATGAAATAAGTCATTCAGAGAAAGCCAATTATCATATGGTTTCACTCATATGCGGACTATAATAGTGGAAGAGACCATAAGGGAAAGGGGGAATCTGAGTGGCAAAAAATTAGAAAGACAGGGCAGCCCCGGTGGCTCAGCGGTTTAGCGCCACCTTCAGCCAGGGTGTGATCCTAGAAACCCAAGATGGAGTCCCAAGTCAGGCTCCCTGCATGGAGCCTGCTTATCCCTCTGCCTGTGTCTCTGCCTCTCTCTCTCTCTCTCTCTTTCTGTGTGTGTGTGTATGTATGTCTCACAAATAAATAAATAAAATCTTAAAAAAATTAGGAAGACAAACCAGGAGAGACTCCTAACTCTGGGAAACAAAGGGTTGCAGAAGGGGAGGGGGAGGATGGGGTAACTGGGTGACTGGCATTAAGGAGGGCACACGATGAGATCAGCACTTGGTGTTATATGTTGGCAAATTGAGGTGTTTTTTTTTTTTTTAAGATTTTATTTATTCGTGAGAGACACACAGAGGCAGAGACATAGGCAGAGGGAGAAGCAGCCTTTCTTCAGGGAGCCTGATGTCAGACTCTATCCCTAGACCCTGGGATCATGCCTTGAGCCAAAGGCAGATGCTCAGCCACTGAGCCACCCAGGCGTCCCGGCAAACTGAATTTAAATAAAAAAAATTTTTAAATGTGCAAGACAAATAATAAGTAAAAGTATCTTTGAGGATGGTAAAATTCAAGCTCTTTAGCATGGCACAGAAATCATCTTGCAAGATGCTCCTCCTCCACCACCAAACACCTCTCCTGTCATGTCCCATATGCAGTCTCTTCTCTATAAGACACCTCATGCCTCTGCTTATGGCATTCCTTCTTCCTCATATGATCCTGCTTCCCATTTCTAGGTAAGTGACTTACTTTTTGTCCTTCAAAGCACAACTCAAGGGATCCCTGGGTGGCGCAGCGGTTTGGCGCCTGCCTTTGGCCCAGGGCGCGATCCTGGAGACCCGGGATCGAATCCCACGTCGGGCTCCCGGTGCATGGAGCCTGCTTCTCCCTCTGCCTGTGTCTCTGCCTCTCTCTCTCTCTCCTCTGTGACTATCATAAATAAAAAAAAAAAAAAAAAAGCACAACTCAAATGTCTCTTGTCATTTTAAAGCTTTGCCTGAATCCCTGGGTACCTTCTCTAGCGTTAGTCGCATTGTGTTGTAATCGTTTACTCACACGTCTGTCTCCCCCAGAAGACTGTGAGTTCATCTTAGGGAAGGGACCATGTCTTCCTCCACACCAAGGGAATGCCTGGCACATAAAGGAGGCAATGTTAATGAGTGAGGAAATGAATAAGCAGGCCCAGCGATGTTCTCAAGAAGGGGAAGACCTTTTCCTTAGGGTCTCTGACCTCTGCAGTCAAGGGCTGTGCAGCTCCCCGCCTTAGCCTTACCGCCCAGCCCTGCCTGCGCCTGTACAAAACATGCGCTCTGAGGAAAACCTAAGTAAGAAAGAGGGGGCTCTGAGTTCTAAATTCAAAGGTGGATCTGCATTCGCCTCTGGAACAGTTCCCAATTGTCAGGGATCTAATACAACTTTTTATTTCCTTTTTAATTCAACTCTTTTTAAATGCGACACTTGCACCAATCCCCTTGCGGAGCAAGAGTTGGGCTAGGACCCTTGGGGAAACCTCCAGACGACCAGGGGGGAGCCGTTTTATTGCAGCGACAAAGTCTTCGCGTTTAAACAGAAGTTCGCCGAGGGTGTGGGTTCTTTAAGTACAGGTACGTGCAAGTTGCTCCCACCTACCTCCGAGGCGCGCCTGGGCGACAACGCTCCACACTGACCGCCCAGCCGGGGTCCACCAGCAGCTCCGGAGCCAGGCGTAGTCCCCGCCTCCCGGGAAGCCCGCGGGGCCGGCCCCTAGCGCGGCGAGGACGTGCGCCGCGAGCTGCGAGCCCCGCCTCCCGGCGTCGGGCCCGGGCGGGCGGGGGGCGCCGCCACGTGGAGCGCAGCCGGGATTCTCCACGGCGCCTACGCTGTTGCCGCGGCGTGGCTCCGGCTCGGCCCTTCGCCCCACGTCAGCAGCGGAGGCCCCGCGGCCTGCGTTTACTCCAGCGCCGCTGACGTAACGTCATCTTGCGGGACGTGGACGGAAGAAAAAGGGGAGTACGCCGGCGCCAGACTCTGCCCGGCGTGGAGCGCGGACCGGGCGGCGGGGCCGGGCGGCGGCGTGCAGCAGGTACGTGGCGGCGTGGCGCGGCGCCCGAGCCTCCGCGGGGGCTGAGGGGGCCGAGGGGCGCCGGCCCGCGGCGGGGTGAGGGGGCCGAGGGGCGCCGGCCCGCGGCGGGGTGAGGGGGCCGAGGGGCGCCGGCCCGCGGCGGGGTGAGGGGGCCGAGGGGCGCCGGCCCCGCGGCAGCGGCCTGAGCGGCCCGGGCGGGGAGGCCCCGGGGCCGAGGGGCTTGGGGTACCTGACCTCGGCGGCCACCCTTGGTTTCTCCCACGTGGAGGAACTAGTCCCGGTGGAGGCCTGACGGCTCGGTGGATCCCTTCCCGGGAGTCCGGCGTCAGCAGCTTCAATGCACCTGCCTCGCCGCCGGTGATGATGGACCGTGGTTTGTAACCGGCCACACGCCCGACGCGCAGCGGCCTGTGTGCGGCCCCTGCGGCCCGCGCGGGCTTTCGTGACCCGCTCGTTCAAAAGCAGGCCCCCAGGGCTGCCCAGGTGGCTCAGGTTCTTGATGGCAGGGTCCTGGGATCCAGCCCCCAGGCAGGCTCCCTGCTCGCTCTCTGCCCCTCCCCTCCACTTGTGCGCTCTCGCTCTCGCGCTCTCCGTCTCAAATAAATAAAATCTGTAAGAAAAAGGGGGAAAAAAAAAAAAAAAAAGCAAAAACCAAGCCCCCAGCAGCGGGGTAGTTGGCTCACAGAGTCGCCCTTTGCAATGTGGCACACGGTCGAGTAGTACGTGCGTGGCACGCCAGGGCTCCCCCAGGCTCCCCCACCCCCATCATTATTCTGCTCTGAGGCCGCCAGATTTATCACCCCATCTTTCTCTTTTGAGTGGCGAACCGTATACCAAGCCTGTGGGTCCTGGGTGAGGTTTGTTGGGACTAAAGTTAGTTCTTTGTCCAAATCAGTAATATAAAGGCATTCTGTTTAAAACGAGTAAAAGAAGTACTTGGGAAACGGCCTGAGTCAAAACATGGAAACTTTTTTCAACTGATGACATCCAGTCTAGACACACACACAGCCTTTGCTCCCTAGAATCAGCCGTCTGCGTTTTGAGAGCATAATAAACTCTGGCACGAGAACCATTCGTTGCAGTCAGAGGTTGTATAGTGCAGGGGAGAGGCCAGGAAGGCTTAGTTTCTAGGTGAGTCTTGAACCTAACAAGCTAGTGACCTTGAGCATTCAGAGCTGTCAGTTACTCTTACTTAGATAAGAGAGATGAAAACAAGTATAATTTGTAATTATATACATTTGAGAATATATTGAATTCTGTGCCTGTGACACATCCTAAAGGAAATAAAGAGAAAGTTGTAGGCATTAGTGCCCAAAAGAAGGAGCACAGCTGACATTTGTTGAGCATTTGTTATACCCAAGCATTCCATGCATTGTCTCATTTAATTCTCAAAATAATCCCACGAGGCCCTTACTGTTATTATCCCTCATTTACAAAAGAGGAAACTGAGGCTTAGAAAGATTCAGTAACTTACCAAAAGGCACACAGCTAGCAGGTGCAGAGCTGGAACCCAAATTTGCCCAGCTCCACAATCCAGGTTCCCTGTCCCATTTACCATGCTGTCAGTGGGAAGTTTATAATCCAGGTGGAAAAAGTGACAGTAACACATGAACCAGTTAAAAGCTAACCTGTAGGATTAAATCCAATTCTGAATGCTAGAGCTGCTGAGAAAGTTTTCTTGAAGGAGATAGAACTAGAGTTTTAGTGTTAAAATTTGATTATTTTACCCTTTTGGTGTTCCTTTTGGAGAATTGATATGTAAATATTTGCTATAGTAATATACTAAAGGAATATATATAAGTAGCACACAAAGAGGAGGACCTATGCCCTCCTTAAATGTCGTGCAGATAATTTTTTCTTGCGGTCTTAATGGCTGTCACAAACTGAAGTCAACAAAGTCGGCACTTAACACTTTCTGTTGCCTATGGGATGACATGTCTTTTACAACAGATGTATCCTGCCAATCTCTTCTCTCCCCTTTCTATGCCTTTGTGCAGTATAAATTGAAGAGCAATACATGCCACTCCTTATTTTTCTTCACTATGGGGCTAACTGCTAGTCTCTTGAGACACTTTAAGAGGATTGGAATATGTTTACCAATCCATAGAGCAAAAGTTAAAAAGAAGCTTGTAAGCAGAGGGTGCAGTATTTTTCTTATCTTGTGAAAACAGCAATGTCTCTGTGGCATGAGAGCTGCAGTAATAAATGGCTTATTCTCTTGTGCATATATAGGAGAGAGCCCCCTACTTTTTTGTGAAATAAAGTATTCTTTATCTAGAGCCTCAAGTTTAAGCCAGAAAATGCCTGTAACCACCATATTCCCAATGCAGGTTTCTAGCCATGTACACATCCTCTCTTACGAGGATGTACCCATAGTCATTTAAGATCCAGCCATTTGCACGCATTGCACTCCCTCCCAGGAATGCAAGAGTGTGCTTTAGATTCCTGTGGGCAGGGGCAGCCCGGGTGGCTCAGCGGTTTAAGCGACGCCTTCAGGCCAGGGCCTGATCCTGGAGTCCCACATCAGGCTCCCTGTATGGAGCCTGCTTCTCCCTCTGCCTGTGTCTCTGTCTCTCTCTTTGTCTCTCTCTCAGGAACAAATAAATAAATAAATAAATAAATAAATAAATAAATAAATAAATAAATAAATAAATATTTAAAAAAAAGAAAAAAGATTCCTGTGGGCAGCAGGAAGAAAGATGACAGTAACCTGTGGCCTTTCATTTCCATCCTCTTCTTGTGTCAGCAAGAGTGAAACAGACATTTCAAATATACAGTTTCAAAATAAATAAAACAAAAAATAAAATAAAAATAAATATATGGTTTCAGAGTTCTTTGGGGAGGTCATAGCAGGAAGGTGGAGATGGCCGCTTATTGGATATTGGATGTGTTTTTTGTTTGAGACTCTCTAATGGCATAGGAATTGTAGTAAAGATTTAGTATCAATTACAGAAACATTGTACCTTAGCTTTTTTTTTTGTCACTCAGAATATTTATAATCCTTAATTGTCATTTGCTTGCATGAAAACTGAGGAGGTCCTAGGAAAGGAAGGATAGAGTTGGAACCTGGGAAGGAGCCATTTTTTTTTTAAGATTTTTTTATTAATTTATTTATGAGCGACAGAGGGAGGGGGTGGTGCAGAGACACAGGCAGAGGGAGAAGCAGGCTCCATGCAGGGAGCCTGACGTGGGACTTGATCCTGAGTCTCCAGGATCATGCCCTGGGCTGCAGGCGGCGCTAAACCGCTGCGCCACCGGGGCTGCCCTGAAGGAGCCATTTCTTGTCTCTCTCTTTTCTATATATGGAGCAGGTGAGAATGTCCCTATACAAAGGAGTTTGGAGCAGAAGACTCCCATTTTTACTCTGAGAGTATGAGGAAGTGGGAGAAAACAAAGTTAATTGCCTATTATTTTCATTTTCATCTTTTAAAAATGTGTTCTACAGATACTTTGATCAGTGACCACATCACAGGATGTTGAGTCAAGTCTACCGCTCCGGGTTCCAGCCTTTCCACCAGCGTCTCCTACCTTGGGTCCAATCCACAGCCCTCTCCAGATCTCGTATGTACCATAGGAAACTTAGAAGTATGTGGAAAGTTTGGAAGTGTGTTTCAAACAAGGCTTTAAAGGAGAAAAAAAGTAATTTGGCAGAATTGGACAAAGACAGTAAGCAAGGAAGCAGCTTAATGATGAAATGCTCTGAGTGTATTTATCAATAAAGTGAAACTTTTGGAGGTGATAGCTTTATGGTATTGACTGTGGTGGTGGTTTATAGGTATATGCTTACCTACAGAATTATCAAACTGTACACATTAATTTTATACAGCTTTTTGTATGTCTAATTTAAAATTTTAGAAGTTTTGTTTTTTTAAGATTTTATTTATTTATTCATGAGAGACAAGAGAGAGAGGCAGACACACAAGCAGAAGGAGAAGCAGGCTCCCTGTGGGAAGCTCAAAGTTTTTCAAATAAGATGTTACTTATATTCATTTCCTCAAAGTTTTTTACAGGCTATTTTTGTTCGTTATTTGTTTTTATGGTTAAGTTTTAATTTTGAGACCACTGTAGATTCATGTGCTGTTGTAAGAGCTAATTCAGAGACATCCCTTAGGCCCTTTACATATTCTTCCAGTATATCATTCTAGATACTGACATTGATATAATCAAGATAAGAACATTTCGGGATCCCCGGATGGCTTAGTGGTTTAGTGCCTGCCTTCGGCTCAGGGCATGATCCTGGAGACCCGGGATCGAGTCCCACGTCAGGCTCCCTGCATGGAGCCTGCTTCTCCCTCTGCCTGTGTCTCTGCCTCTCTCTCTCTCTCTCTTTCTCTGTCTCTCTCTCTCTCTCTCTCTGTATGTCTCTCATGAATAAATAAATAAAATCTTAAAAAAAAAAAAAAAAAACATTTCTACCACTACAGGATCCTTTAGTTTCCTCTTTTGACTATCCCTCTCCTCCCCATCCCTAATGCCTGGCAACCACTAATCTGTTCTCCATTTCTATAATTTTATAATTTCAAAAAATGTTATATAAATAAGTCATACAGTATGTGGTCTTTGGGGATGGGTTTTTTCCTCAGCATTATTCTCTGAAGATTCATCCAAGTTGTGTGTATTGATTGTTTCCTTTTTTATTACTCAGTAGTATTTAATGTTATGGGTATACCACAGTTAGT